AAGGGCTTGAAGAGGATTGGAAAAGATAGGAACATGTTTGGGAGCACTTGCAGACGAATGGGGTACCTTGTGATTGCATAGAGGAGGACCATACCTCTCATCTTGTTGATTATTTTTTAAGAAAATAGATTGGATGGCAACCTATAGTTTGGGGACTATTTGTTGCCGAAATCCTTTACTCTCCCCATGAAGCTGGTTAATTAGGTAAAGACGTCCAGTAGCTTTTGATGCTTATAATGACTCTTTTTTTTACATTAATAGCTCTATTTAGCCCATAGAGCGATTGCAATTGTAATCTCTAGTTACAGATGACTCTTTTCATTTAATTGTTTATACTCATCATAAGTATAGTTTAAATCTGTTACTAGTACCGTAAGTTATGTTTTTGGTTCTGCTCTTAGGCTATATGCCCTGCATGGAGATTTTAATGTACTTTCTTATTATTTAATATATTTTTCCATTTCCTATCAAAATAAAAAAAAAAAAAACAAATTACATTTTAAATCAATTAAATTAAGTTTAGTAAAAACAATTTGAGTTTCGAAAAATTTTAAAACAGAGTATTAGAAAATCACAAACCAATTAAAATATTTATAATCTAATTATTTAATATCACATTTTTTTAAATATTTCATTTTATTATTTATTTCTAATAGTAATTTTTTTCTTTCTTTTAAAAACAAATACATCTTAACAAACCGCAAGCCAGATAAAAACCAGGACAAATAAACATACCACCACAGTAGCATATCGTTAATTTCCTTATGTAAATGAGATCTGGTTCCAGTCACACAGCATATGGGTGAAGAGCACTAAACTGATGAGAGAAAAGTTATCCCCTGCTGTGTAACCATGAAAAGCAAGGTAATATAAAAATAAAAACCAAAGAAAACAAGTCCAAGAAATTCAAAAGAAAAATATCAACTTAGGTCAATTATTCCCAGAAAGGGTCTTTACCTGAATTCTGCAAGAGTATATTGGAATTGCAATATTTTTTTCTTATTAATATGCTTCAATCAATCATATATACAACAAAGATGTTCCAAGGATAAAAAGCATAATTTCTACAGCAGGTAACTGCATTTTTCTTTCTTCGCAAACTCTTTTTTATTACATTCAAACATTAACTACTAATTACACTATTTTTTTTTTTTAGCTAATTGCTGGGTTAAACTGTATTTTATCTCTTGGTTTGCCCCCATATGAGTGCAAGCAATGCTGGAGAATTAGTATGAGCCTTTACCTTTAGGAGTAGCTTCTCCAGAAACAAGCACATCAAAGTCACTAACAGTCCATTCTGCAGTCTCTCCAGCTTGACTGACATATATCTCAGTACCAACATTGATTGAAGACCATATTCGCCGTGCTGGCTTTGTTCCTGGATCCTGCACAGGGCAATGTTCAGCTTTTAAGTCTTTCCGATGCACCAGATGATTGCATCAATACAAGAATGATACTCAGGGGCATTGCGCAACTAGCATTTACATTTTTAATAAACTAAAAGTGATAATGAACCCCTGAAAAGGCCAGAACAATAGCTGTCTTATTTTAGCCTGGCTTCTCAGAGATATTGGTTTTAGCAGGGTTGTTTGGATCACGGAAGCTAGCTTAGTTGGGCCACCTGAAGCCAGGACATCTAAACTAACCTTGTTTTTAGCAGTCTTAGGATAAGTGAAATGCACAAGGAAATTGTAGTACTAAGATAACTGGTCCTATAAAAAATTTTAATACTCAAGTAAGCAGACATGTAAAAGCCCATAAACACAGGTAAAATCCATTTACTAAAACCCTGCTAATTCTACTGTTAAGAAATGTAGTTATTTATCTGTCTTAGTTAACTACTGATTTGAAACATACAGATTTTTACACAATTATTTTAGGAAACTGTTGCCTAGGATAATAAGGCAAAGAGGTTTTTTTGCCACATAGTGCCTTGAGTATTCACTTTTGATTTTAGTTATGACTAACCCACTTTGGTTTTTTTATTTTTTATTTTATCAAAGAGTTAGGACTGCCTTGATTCTTACAAGGTAAGGATCTCAAAGAATTGCAAACTAATCCCAGAAACAGAAGCCACTAGAGAAACTGAGATAGGGAGATAGACCAAGACAGAAAGACAGACCAAATGGAGCTATTCTATTATTTCTCAACTGTGACACCAATGCTACAAAGGTAAACCAAAAAAGAGAGAAGATACCTGGTAGAAGTATAACCGACTTGAGAGGGCACCCACATCAAGCTCCCAAGTTCTAGAATCCCCAATCCATCCATCTCCTTTCTTTTCAGGATAGCCATGTATAGCCCATTCAGGATGTGGAAGAATTTGAACTAACTCTTGCGCTTGTGGATTGCTATAGGGGTCACAAATATCATATGGCTTCTCAAAATATTTAGCATTTCCTGGGCTACAATAGAGATGATAAGCAGAATATGGAAAATGTTTTGTGTCATTTCTATAGATTATCTCTCCAGTAGAACTGATATGGTAAGGTGGGCAAGAAACCAGATTATCTGGGCGGCACCAGCTTGTGGTTGCTGGATTAATTATCATCTCACTATATCTAGTTACATCTGTTAGAACATCACCATCGCATGGTTCTCCATTGTTCTTCCAACAACTTCCAATATCAACCAGATAAAATTGACTGTTGGATCCTCCTCCATGTTTGATATCAAGTGTCAATTTCACCCAGAAATTTGGGGACTCTGGTAACTGAAATAACAAACACAGTTCAAATAAGTCATGCATTAGAGACAGGTCCAAATCCTTTCAAAAGTGGATTAAAGAGAAAGAACCTCCAACATGGAACAGGAGGTGACCCCATCATAACCACAATAATTAAAATTATTATCATCCTTAAGAAATGATGTTCTCAAGCAGGATACCAAGCCTTAGAGCAAGTTACATGGAAAAAGGAAAGGAAACCAAGAGTAAAGGCATGATTGATCATCATGATTATTATCATTTGAAGGTACGAGACAATAAAAAAAGACATGCTCGGGGTTTAAAAGGAAATAAGGAATCCACCTGCACCACCCGGTATTTGGGTAAAACTCAGTCCAGGAATTAAGACAATGATCAAATGAGTGGCAATTTTTGCACACAGAGATGTACACACAGAAACACAAGAACATTCATCATGCATATTTATCAACAAACCTTATGCATGATGCCACGTCCATTATAGTGATAACCACCATTAAATCCTTCTGTTGCATCTGCACGCAGATACAACATAAGCCAAGGATACTTGGCTGAAGTTGTCAGCCTGTGGGAGAAAATCCAACTTCCGGTGCTTATATTCTTGTGCCATGAGACTGAAAAGAATGAGTTGTTCCCCACACCTTTGCTCAAGTTAGCATCAAGGTCATATGTTCCATAGAATTCTCCAATTAAAGAATCGTTTTCCTCCCCAGAAGAAACCAGTCTAGAGTAATTATGATAAACAAGTGGCTGGTTCATACACCCTTCACCAAAGCATGGAAAATTTCTGCCTGTAATTATTTTACTTACTTTCCTTCCATTCTCTGGGCAAAGTGTTGTGTTTTTGTCAAAGTTACCATTTTTTAACATGATCATCCAAAATTGCCATGGTTTCATGGATTCATTCACTTCACATAGAGAAGCAAGATAAAGTTCCTTTTCTGTTGCATACAAGTCAGGATCCGTGTAAGATTCAAAACCAACAAATGGAAACTTATCACCAGCCCCTAAATTGTTGTCAGTATCATTCACTTTGTGATGCACTTTACACTTACAACCATAACCAAGAGGGTTGCGACCCAGAGAATCTGAAGTTGAACCAATACAAATTAAAAAAAAAAAAAAGTCAATTTTAGTTAATGCACCATGGATATTATAGTTTGTTAAAATTAACAAAAGCAAGATTTTTTATGAAACTGATTCATTTAAACGAACTTTTTAAAATAAAACAACCAGACAGTTCAAATTTCTATCGAAACACAAACGAAGGAGTAAATTAGAGAAGTGGGGGGTACCATCAATGGAAGGGCAGTACAAGTTAGCACAATCAGCCCACCTGGGGCTGCCCATTCCGGGAGCTTCCACGCCGACTTCGTTGCAAAAGTTCCAAGCTTCCAACGCAACTCTGACATTTGGGTTCTTCATACCTGGGTCTCCTATAGCCGACGAGTACTCGGTAGAAAGAGATCCATCCATCAACAAATGACTCAAATTCAACCCAAATAACGCTAGCAAAACAAGAAGAAGAACCCAAGAACCCATTTTGCTTCTATGAAGAGGAGAAACCGCCATGGTTGCAACAGCAAGCATGATCAGCTGCGGGTGAGTATAAACGATGGCAATGCGCGTGGGTTCGACGTGGGGTACCGGAGCGTCGTGGTGTGGGATGTGAAAGCATAGTGATTTCTCGGCTCTGTTGGTTGGCTGAGGAGAGAGAGATTGCTTCAAAGACAGAAGTTGTGGATTGTGATGTTTGCCGTCTTTGCAAGGAAACGCCGGGAAGGAGGAAGACAATTGAGTCCGATGACAATGGTGGGATGGGAAGGAGGCCCAAGCAGTTACCTCCTCAACCAAGCCCACTACAAAACAAACTCTAAGTCCACCCTTGGCCTGCAGGCAAAAACCAACATTTAGCCCCTTACCTTATAAAGTTGGTAGGTTTTAGCCCCTTATTTTATGACATGACACTTTAGGCCTTTTATCTTACAAAATTGGTAGGTTTTAGTTCCTCACCTTACAAAGTTGGAAGGTTTTAATCCATCACCTTATATTATGACATTTTTTGTCCCTCACCTATACGAATTAAAAAAAATAACTCTTACCTAGCATCATGTTATAACATTTTGTTAGTTCTGTTAGTTGACTGTTAACATCCGCTAACATTCCATTATAGAAAAACATCAAATTTAAATTCAATTTTATATGTTAGTTTCATTAACAGAATGCTAACAGATACTAATAGCCAGCTAACAGAACTAATAGTCAATTAACAAAATTGATAATCAGTTAACAAAATTGATAATCAGTTAACAAAACTAACAAAATATTATAACTTGATGTTAAGTGATGGCTATTTTTTTCAATTCGTATAGATTTAAAAAAAATAACTCTTACCTAACATCATGTTATAACATTTTGTTAGTTCTGTTAGTTGACTGTTAACATCCGTTAGCAATTTCATTATAGAAAAATATGAAATTTAAATTCAATTTTATATGTTAGTTCCATTAACAAAATGCTAACAGATACTAATAGTCAGCTAACAGAACTAATAGTCAGTTAACAAAACTGATAATCAGTTAACAAAACTAACAAAATATTATAACTTGATGTTAAGTGATGGATATTTCCTTCAATTCGTATAGATAAAGGGTTAAAAGTGTCATAATATAAGATGAAAGACTAAAATCTACCAACTTTGTAAGATAAAAGGTTGAAAGTGTCATATTATAAAGTTAGGAACTAAAACCTACCAATTTTGTAAGGTGAGAGACTAAATGTTGGTTTTAGCCTGGCCTGCAGGCCTAGGGAAGTTGCAGTTAGTTCAAAAGGTTTTTTTTTTGGGGAGGATAGGGGGAGACAGAGATTATAATTTTTTTTTAATATTAATCTTTTGATATCCGATAATCACATTGGATCCAATTAATTTGGAATTGAGTCATGTTGGACCCCATTAGAAGAGAAACTCTCCCAATGCCGATTTTTTCATTCATAAGAGTCAAACTCGATACCTTACTTAAAAGGAACCAAACTCTTTCCAATCGAACCAACAGATTATTGGTAGAGATATTATAATTTGATTCGGAAATATTGCTTTAGAGCATCTTAGTATTTTAATTTATTCTTTAGAAATTAAAATACATTGTGAAAAATCAAGTTGCATAAATAATAACCAAAAAATTAAAATGTATTTAGCGAATCAAGATACAAAGAATTTTTATTTAGATTATTTAAATAATTTCACAAGTAATCTAAACATTTAAAACACTTTTTTTTTTACCATATCTAATAATAATAGGTTATATAAGAGATGAAGGCCATTCTTTTTCTCAAATCTCTCTCACTTGACTTAGAATTTAAATTTTAAAATTTAAATTTGAGATTTTCAATTTATAATTTTAGGTTTTTAACAAGTTGAACCATCCCTATAGAAAATAGATATTTAAAATTTTAATGTATTCTAAATTTCATTTTTCTCAAATAAATAACTTGCATAATTTTTTTTTAAGAAGTACTAAATAACTTCTATAAATTTAAGTTTTAAATAGAATATATAAAGTATTTTGGTTTCATAACCCAATAGTTATATATCTTATCATAAAGTGTATCCAATCTTATTAGAATTTGAATCTCTACTCTAAAATTGTAACTTGTAAATAAAATAAAAAAAAGAGTACTGGGTTTTGAAACATCACATCATATACTGTAGTTGCATGAAATTGTTCTTCATCAGACATTTTTTAGTGGGTTTGTAATGATCATTCTTTTCCATTAGAGTCAACATTCTCATCTGGAATCAAACTTTTGCTTTCCTTTACATAAATTCCTGACACCTTACTACCAATATGTATAAATAAATCCTTTTGAGCATAATGTTAATTTTGCGGGAAAGTAGACAGCAACGAAAACATGGAGACATCGTTTTGGTCTTGTTCAAGTTCATTGGTTGTATTGATTCTTGACCTAGCAGCAAGTGAGAATATTTGTTATTTGAACCTAAAATCTTTCATAACCTTAACATTTCTACCATTGGATCAAAACCCTTTCTTTATTGATTTTCTTTTGGGGTTCATTTGTACCCAATAATCTTTTTTCAGTACCACTAAACATCTACCTAGATCAAATATCTTATTGACACAACAAAAAATCTATGAATGCAGTATGAACCTCCTATGTAAAGTTTATTAATCAAATTTAAGATATATAGGGCTGAATTCTTTTTTGATGTTTAGATATATAGTGCTTAATTCTGTAGAATACTTAGTATGATATATGCATGCCTAAATGCATACAACATTAACAAAGAGATATCCAAGTGTCAATATTGAAGACAATTTCTGCAGCATTAGTGATTTTCAATAGATACCGCAAGTGATGTGACATTATTCTCTTTTTTTAAAAAGAACCAAAGTTTGTGGTAGGCTATATGATGCGTGAAGGCCAAGGTAAATGGAAAAGAAAAATCTTTTAAAGGAGCAAAATAAAAATTATATGGTGATAGAAATCATGGAATAATTTATTAATTAATTAGATGTGCTGAAGAGAAGAGAATCCAGTGAACTATATATGAAGTTTGAAGCTCTTGCAGGAGTAACCACCGTTGCTGGAGGAGGAGGGAGCTGCCGGCAGAGAGGCATTGCAAATTTGCAACAACCTCGAAGCTAGTTCAAACTAGTGGGGGGTTGTCTGCAGAAAAGCATACAAAATCATTTTTTCTTTTCCATCCACAGAAAAAACCATTTGAACCAAAGAGATCAGAAGAAAGTAGGTTTTGGTTCTTTTGGATAACATTAATCGACATGGCTCGAGGAAGAATTCAGATGAAGCGCATCGAGAACCCGGTGCAGAGGCAGGTTACCTTCTGCAAGCGCCGAGCTGGGCTGTTCAAGAAGGCCAAGGAGCTTTCTGTGCTATGTGATGCTGAAATTGGACTATTCATTTTCTCCTCAAATGGGAAGCTCTGTGAACTTGCCACCAAAGGGTCTCCATTCTCTACCTTTGTTATTATTTTTTTTAGTTTCTGATAATCACTCATACAAAGTTTAGATCTCAAATCATGATTTCTATCCATTTCATTTTTATGAAGTTAGTTTATATAACAGAAACTGATTTGTATATATACCATTTAGTTTATTACATTACACAATATATTTATTAAAA